CCTGGTTTGTAAAGACCCCCGTTAAGCAAGAGTAATTGTTAAACATAACGGGACACTTACCTTCATAAGCGCTTTTGAATCATCGCCGGTCCACTGTTTGAAGCCACGTCCTTGCGGAAAACGACGGAGGCCAGCGAAGGAAGCGACAGCGGCGATTCTAGTACGATAAAGCCAGAATGAGTCCTTAGAGTTGGCACGCGAAGGCAGGACACTTACCTATGATCAATATCATCCAAGATTCGTTGTGCCTCGCGTGTTCCATGCGTACGTAGTAGATATTTATGAACCCAGTCCACGAGGTGGTCTTTGAACGTCCCTTTGATGATCTGATGTAAGAGGTCCGGTGCAATCAATTGGCAGATATCGGCGCGGGGAAAATCGTTCGTGAACGGCTGCAGGTAAAATCGTAGTGAGAACAATTAAGTACATAGATATGAAAACATACAATGAGATCCGCCACAACCCCGAACTCGTCCCACAGCTCCAAATATGTCCCCACCTGAACAAGTTCTTCTATGTACCTTTGACATCGAGCGTGTGCGCCAGCTGCATCAAGATCATCATTCGGTGCCATGCATCTTGAGCGTCGTGAGTCAGGAACGTCTAGAGTCGAAAAACAATCACTTACCGTGCACACCAGAAACGCACCATACACGCCAGCAGAACCTGTTCTTCGTAGTCAGCAATATATGGCCCGAGGCCGTAGACCACACGACGGAAATGCCCATCGCCAAACTTCGCAACCTCGGGTACTTTCATTCCAGGCCGAAGTCGTTCGAGAATCTTCGAAAGCGAAGAATGGAATAGCTGACGGCGAAATTTTCGAAAGTTCGCGCGTTTCGCATGCTCCTTCGTAGCTATTAGATTGTCAGCAAGTTGTATAGGACAGGAAGTTATGTCACTCACTCTTTGGCATTGCAAGAAAGCCAATGACGGAGACTGCGTTCCGGTGTGCACGCCGGACGTTGTTGTGGACGTTCCCGATGGACAGATAGAGCGGGTAATACTCGTTGTTACCCGTTCCAACAGAAACGGTTGTTTTGTCGCTTCCGAGGATGATGGGAACGAAGGTTGCGCCAATGGTATCTGGATCCTTGGAAATTTCGTCCTAGTACATCACATGAGTTCCCCAGAGACTTCGCAACTGACATGTACATACCGCTTGATCCCACGCCCAGTTAGCAGACATAAAATCTCTATACTGGCGCTCCTCTCCTTCAGTCGAATACTCTCGATACGGCCGAAAGTCCATCTCATGTGCGAATTCGGGGTTTGCAAGCATGTTGTGAACCACTTGACGTGGATCTCGATACCACACATCAAAGGTGCTATCCATCCAGGGTGGGTAATCACCCTCAGGCTTCTCGCCTGAATACGAGCACGCGAAACTCTCCCACTTAACCTCTCCCAATGGTATTGAGTCGATCGTTTCGTAGAGATCTCGATGGTCTGCAAACGGTGGCACATCACCGTGTTTGAGTAGTGTTGATGCCCATAATGCAAGGTGCGCATCAATTTTATGGGCAGGTGTTGGGTTCTGAACATAGAATAAATCCGCAGTTTCGAATTCAGTGCGGTTACGGAATGGGGTCCAGTCGTTGGGAGATTGAGGTTCACGAGGTGGTGGCGGCGCGTCGTCCTCGAGAAAATGACCATGTTCATCACATGGACGGCCTGAAAGCGATGTCAGAAACTGAATTGATCGAGGAACACGACAGCAAACCGTTGAGTTGAGTATGATAATTCCGAAAGAAATGGTTCCCGCGGCCAAAAAACTCTGTATCAACATCAGGTGGGGGGGAAGACCTCAATGCATCAGCGCCATGATCATGACCGTGCCCAAAAACACCCCCTTCATCATCGGGCGGGGGGGGAATATCCTGGCCATTGTCAGGGCCCTTCGAGTTCTTCATCTGGGACATTAATGTCCATTTCTTGATGCTCTGGCGGCGGGGAAGATATCATGGGATGGGCAGATAGTATGTGTTTCGTGCGCCCACCACCCGTCTTGAAAAACCGGTTGCATCCTGCATGTCCGCATGGAAGTTGCAAGGCGCTGAAATCCCTGCGGTGAATCTGAGTGCGAGGGATGGTATTGGGCATGTCGAGTGGATTCTTGGCCGTTGAGTGGAAGGGTTGCTGTAGTGAATTCCTGGTGTTGGTAGGATTGCCGTAGTGAATTCCTGGTGTTGAGAGGATTTCCGTAGTGAATTCCTGGCGTTGGGAGGGAGGATCTATGTAGTGAATTCCTGGCGTTGGGAGGGAGGATCTCTGTAGTGAATTCCTGGCGTTGGTAGGATTGCCGTAGTGAATTCCTGGCGTTGAGAGGATTTCCGTAGTGAATTCCTGGCGTTGGGAGGGAGGATCTATGTAGTGAATTCCTGGCGTTGGTAGGGAGGATTTACGTAGTGAATTCCTGGCGTTGGGAGGGAGGATTTCCGTAGCGAATTCCAGGCGCTGGGAGGGAGGGTTTCCGTAGTGAATTCCTGGCGTTGGGAGGGAGGATCTCTGTAGCGGATTCTTGGCCGTTGGGCGGGAGGATTTCTGCAGTGGATTCTTGGTGTTTGACTAAGTTTCTGACCGTAAGCTTTGACGAAGTATTCCTGCACCCGTTGTGAGAAAAGCTGTTACAAGTGTGATTCATATCGAAACCTACTTTAATTGTAGTGTCTCGAACTGATAGTTGCCAGAATTGGGCGGGAGGATTTCCGTAGTAGATTCTTGGTGTTGGGGGGAGGACCTCCGTAGTGGATTCTTGGGCGTTCAGCGGGAGGATTTCCGTAGTGGATTCTGGGGGTTGGGCAGGAGGATTTCCGTAGTGGATTCTTGGTGTTGGGGAGAGGATCTCCGTAGCGGATTGCTGGCGTTGGGAGAGAGGCGAACACGCTGGCAGATTGAAGCCGCGCCGAGAGAGGTTTGAGGACTAAGATTCAAAGTTTGAATAAGCGCTTAGCGCCAAGGGTTACAAAAGGGTGCTAAAAGTCAGCCACTTACAAATTTCAAGTTGCATTCAATTCGTGTGGTCGTCTTCCTCTCTACCGCTCACCCACACTGCTCACTCAGTGCTTCCTATCCTCGTTTTTGCCGGGTCACAGCTTGACATGCCTCCTCGTCGCACACGTGCTCAAAATGCTACCACCCATCCGGGTCAGATCGTTCTAGACGCACAACCGAAACGACGCACGAAAGCACAAAAACAGGCAGATGATGCCCGCTTGAAAGCGGCCGAGGCGGAAAAGGAAGCAGATGCCCTAGCAGGGCTTACCAGGCTGGCAGAACTGCAAGTCCAGATGGAAGGTACCCAGGCCCAAGCCCAGGCTAACAAGCCCAAGGCAGTTAAACCGCGACCGGTACCAAAGGGTCGCAGGGCAGCTACTGATCAATCAGCCGAACCTTTTTCCATGGCAGGTCGTCATTATGCTCAGGATACAGACGCATCAGGTCCTGGTGAGGTGTTGAGCTTGAAGGATCAGATTTTTGAGGAAGACGCATTGCTGGATGGCGATGATCTTGAGGTCCCAAATAGTACGAAGCAGAAGTCCAAGAAACGCTCTCTGAAGGTGGCTATCTCAAATGTTCGGGAAAATATTGATGCAGACGATAACAACCTGATCGATAACGATGCATGTGCAAACAACGAGAAAGGCAACTCCTTACGGTGCGTGTTTGCCTTGCACTATCATGTTGATGCTTACTGAATCTACGCTATATTTTCTGAATTTCTGGGCGTCCAGAACAGAACCTGGTCTAGGTCCGACTCTAGGTGGTCGTATCCTAAACTGGAGGTCACAAGTCGGGCCCCAGAAATCTGGTGCAAGTTCCCAGCATGAGTCACTTACAACCGCCACTCAACCACCGCCTTCTATTTTTTCAAAATCTGAGCTGTCGAAGAGGACCTCAGTCAGTTCCTACAGTCATGCACCTCCCCCTCCTACCAGCAAAGCGGATGATCCTGAATGCCTCGTTGGAGCATTTGGAGATGAAGATTTAGATGAGTCTTATGAACGGGAGGCGGCGGCGTCAATGACAAAGAGTCAGGGTAAACGGCCGGCGGTGAGTGTATTTTCACTATGATTTTCAAGTTTGCGCTACTGACTTAAGCTTGGATCTACTAGTCTACCGTCAGTATCTCGTCTGGTGCAGATCTTGACCTCGTACCACCACCGAGCACTCAACCCGGTCTGAAGAGGGATCGCAACTTGATGCCACCACCCAGTACTCAACCTGGCCTGAAGAATGGCCGTCACTTGATGCCACCACCTTCCACACAACCTCGAGTTGTATCTGGCACGAAGAGGAAGCAGCTGGATGAGTTGGAGTTCTCCGACAGTGAGATTTCAGAGTTTCTAACGGATGATGACGTTATGGAGGTCGACGGCCCGGACGATGAATTGGACGTAGATATCAAGCCAGAGCCAGGTTTGAACGGTAAGGCTGCACGCACTACAGCCTCGGTATATCCCTCACTTCATTTCATTTTGCTACCACTGACTTCAGTATCAGACTTCTGTGACCACCACTGCTCGCGAGGCTCCAGCTCCTCCATCGAAGAAGGCAAAACATGAGAAGAACATCAAACTCGAGGGGAATATCAAATCCGAAGGGGCATCTACTGTGCCACCTGGCACCTGGGTAGAGCCGGTGTTGAAGGCACGTTCGTCTTATTTGAACACGGACCTCCCACCAGGCTGTCATGAGGACGGAAAATGGGCTCGAGTATTCATACCAACGATCTTGCTGTGGCTTGGCGCACAAGAGGAACTCTGGACTATTGCTGACATTAAGCTGCTTGATGCATGCAAAGAAATTTTCAAGGTCGTCTACGGGGATATTTGCTACAATCTTACCATATCTGGGTCCGTTTTTGGTGTTGTCAGTGTCGTCGTTTTATTTGGGAGAAGCTACTAATATGTTGTAGGTCACACAACGTGTTGGCGAATGGCGTAGCAACTTCGGGTCTACAGCACTTGCCCTCGCGGTTCATTTCTGTGTCGTCAATCAAGATTCAGCACCAAGGGAACTTTCGACTCTCCTCCTGCACAAATATGCATTTTTATACCCTAACCCTGAAAAGATTGACAAGGATGAGACTTTCCGTTCTCCGTTTGTCCAAGAGCTTCTTGCTACTGCGCATCTCGCTAAAATCTTGGGACACGCTGACGTTCCTGTTCTCCGCACTGACAGCTTGGTTAAAAATGGTTTCATTGGGGCCCTGGGCTTGTGTGCGGTCTCGGTCAGTCAATCTTGTATTGATGGTTGCTTATTAATTTTATGCCCGCAGCTCGAACGTGCTTTCACTCTTCTCGCTGATAGCACTGTCACTCTTGACAGCGAGGAGAACTCGGAGCTGCCGATCAATGTGCGGAAAGCTCGCCTCAAGACGCCCAAGACCTTCAACAAAGCTACTGGAAAGGAGACGACTTCCGAACACGCATTCTCAGTTGCTAAATGGAGCTCCAAGACTGCTGCATTTGTATGCGGGGCGAAAAAGAAGGGCACGGCGGCAACAGAGCTCACTGTCTCGATGGCGTGGAAGGTTCTGAAAAAGCCTGGTTTCGAGAAATACACTGGCAATGACATGTCCGACGAGGATGACGATCGCGCAGACATTTGGTAAGTTGCAGCTCTCACAATCCCCGGGTTTTAATAATGTTTGCACTACTACCTGCAGATATGCGAGCCTCACGCCTCTGGTCGATGTCTTCTCGTTAGGACATTTGGATATATTATTTCGTGCTTTGCGCTTGCAATTTTCACCGTTTGGAACCGCTCATTCGTTTTGCTCTTCCTCACTCGTCTTTTAACGTGTTTTAACGTGTTTCCATGCCTGCGTCACTCGTTTTGCTCTTTTTCACTGGTCTTTTGTCATATTTCCATGCCTTCATCACTCTTTCAGCCGCTCTTGATTGTCTCCTAATGCTTCTTAGATCCCCTTTAATGTTGTTCATGATTCTGTGCCTATCACCCATTTTCCGCTTATGTTCCCTTTCGCACCCTTTTTGGTGGTTTTATCACGCATTTTACAGTGACTTGCAATGGACTTGTGTCGAGTTTTTGTGCCTTACATCATACATAATAAGTGGATTCAAGTGTGATTAAGCCGCTACAAGAAGACGCGTGGCCTTGGCGCGTCTTGTGGTGCCCTCGCTCTTTTTTTCACTTGAGACCATTGAAAAAGCCAAAAAAGGCGTGTGAAGAGATCCGGGATTTTGCTGATGCGTGAGGCTCGCATATCTGCAGGTAGTAGTGCAAACATTATTAAAACCCGGGGATTGTGAGAGCTGCAACTTACCAAATGTCTGCGCGATCGTCATCCTCGTCGGACATGTCATTGCCAGTGTATTTCTCGAAACCAGGCTTTTTCAGAACCTTCCACGCCATCGAGACAGTGAGCTCTGTTGCCGCCGTGCCCTTCTTTTTCGCCCCGCATACAAATGCAGCAGTCTTGGAGCTCCATTTAGCAACTGAGAATGCGTGTTCGGAAGTCGTCTCCTTTCCAGTAGCTTTGTTGAAGGTCTTGGGCGTCTTGAGGCGAGCTTTCCGCACATTGATCGGCAGCTCCGAGTTCTCCTCGCTGTCAAGAGTGACAGTGCTATCAGCGAGAAGAGTGAAAGCACGTTCGAGCTGCGGGCATAAAATTAATAAGCAACCATCAATACAAGATTGACTGACCGAGACCGCACACAAGCCCAGGGCCCCAATGAAACCATTTTTAACCAAGCTGTCAGTGCGGAGAACAGGAACGTCAGCGTGTCCCAAGATTTTAGCGAGATGCGCAGTAGCAAGAAGCTCTTGGACAAACGGAGAACGGAAAGTCTCATCCTTGTCAATCTTTTCAGGGTTAGGGTATAAAAATGCATATTTGTGCAGGAGGAGAGTCGAAAGTTCCCTTGGTGCTGAATCTTGATTGACGACACAGAAATGAACCGCGAGGGCAAGTGCTGTAGACCCGAAGTTGCTACGCCATTCGCCAACACGTTGTGTGACCTACAACATATTAGTAGCTTCTCCCAAATAAAACGACGACACTGACAACACCAAAAACGGACCCAGATATGGTAAGATTGTAGCAAATATCCCCGTAGACGACCTTGAAAATTTCTTTGCATGCATCAAGCAGCTTAATGTCAGCAATAGTCCAGAGTTCCTCTTGTGCGCCAAGCCACAGCAAGATCGTTGGTATGAATACTCGAGCCCATTTTCCGTCCTCATGACAGCCTGGTGGGAGGTCCGTGTTCAAATAAGACGAACGTGCCTTCAACACCGGCTCTACCCAGGTGCCAGGTGGCACAGTAGATGCCCCTTCGGATTTGATATTCCCCTCGAGTTTGATGTTCTTCTCATGTTTTGCCTTCTTCGATGGAGGAGCTGGAGCCTCGCGAGCAGTGGTGGTCACAGAAGTCTGATACTGAAGTCAGTGGTAGCAAAATGAAATGAAGTGAGGGATATACCGAGGCTGTAGTGCGTGCAGCCTTACCGTTCAAACCTGGCTCTGGCTTGATATCTACGTCCAATTCATCGTCCGGGCCGTCGACCTCCATAATGTCATCATCCGTTAGAAACTCTGAAATCTCACTGTCGGAGAACTCCAACTCATCCAGCTGCTTCCTCTTCGTGCCAGATACAACTCGAGGTTGTGTGGAAGGTGGTGGCATCAAGTGACGGCCATTCTTCAGGCCAGGTTGAGTACTGGGTGGTGGCATCAAGTTGCGATCCCTCTTCAGACCGGGTTGAGTGCTCGGTGGTGGTACGAGGTCAAGATCTGCACCAGACGAGATACTGACGGTAGACTAGTAGATCCAAGCTTAAGTCAGTAGCGCAAACTTGAAAATCATAGTGAAAATACACTCACCGCCGGCCGTTTACCCTGACTCTTTGTCATTGACGCCGCCGCCTCCCGTTCATAAGACTCATCTAAATCTTCATCTCCAAATGCTCCAACGAGGCATTCAGGATCATCCGCTTTGCTGGTAGGAGGGGGAGGTGCATGACTGTAGGAACTGACTGAGGTCCTCTTCGACAGCTCAGATTTTGAAAAAATAGAAGGCGGTGGTTGAGTGGCGGTTGTAAGTGACTCATGCTGGGAACTTGCACCAGATTTCTGGGGCCCGACTTGTGACCTCCAGTTTAGGATACGACCACCTAGAGTCGGACCTAGACCAGGTTCTGTTCTGGACGCCCAGAAATTCAGAAAATATAGCGTAGATTCAGTAAGCATCAACATGATAGTGCAAGGCAAACACGCACCGTAAGGAGTTGCCTTTCTCGTTGTTTGCACATGCATCGTTATCGATCAGGTTGTTATCGTCTGCATCAATATTTTCCCGAACATTTGAGATAGCCACCTTCAGAGAGCGTTTCTTGGACTTCTGCTTCGTACTATTTGGGACCTCAAGATCATCGCCATCCAGCAATGCGTCTTCCTCAAAAATCTGATCCTTCAAGCTCAACACCTCACCAGGACCTGATGCGTCTGTATCCTGAGCATAATGACGACCTGCCATGGAAAAAGGTTCGGCTGATTGATCAGTAGCTGCCCTGCGACCCTTTGGTACCGGTCGCGGTTTAACTGCCTTGGGCTTGTTAGCCTGGGCTTGGGCCTGGGTACCTTCCATCTGGACTTGCAGTTCTGCCAGCCTGGTAAGCCCTGCTAGGGCATCTGCTTCCTTTTCCGCCTCGGCCGCTTTCAAGCGGGCATCATCTGCCTGTTTTTGTGCTTTCGTGCGTCGTTTCGGTTGTGCGTCTAGAACGATCTGACCCGGATGGGTGGTAGCATTTTGAGCACGTGTGCGACGAGGAGGCATGTCAAGCTGTGACCCGGCAAAAACGAGGATAGGAAGCACTGAGTGAGCAGTGTGGGTGAGCGGTAGAGAGGAAGACGACCACACGAATTGAATGCAACTTGAAATTTGTAAGTGGCTGACTTTTAGCACCCTTTTGTAACCCTTGGCGCTAAGCGCTTATTCAAACTTTGAATCTTAGTCCTCAAACCTCTCTCGGCGCGGCTTCAATCTGCCAGCGTGTTCGCCTCTCTCCCAACGCCAGCAATCCGCTACGGAGATCCTCTCCCCAACACCAAGAATCCACTACGGAAATCCTCCTGCCCAACCCCCAGAATCCACTACGGAAATCCTCCCGCTGAACGCCCAAGAATCCACTACGGAGGTCCTCCCCCCAACACCAAGAATCTACTACGGAAATCCTCCCGCCCAATTCTGGCAACTATCAGTTCGAGACACTACAATTAAAGTAGGTTTCGATATGAATCACACTTGTAACAGCTTTTCTCACAACGGGTGCAGGAATACTTCGTCAAAGCTTACGGTCAGAAACTTAGTCAAACACCAAGAATCCACTGCAGAAATCCTCCCGCCCAACGGCCAAGAATCCGCTACAGAGATCCTCCCTCCCAACGCCAGGAATTCACTACGGAAACCCTCCCTCCCAGCGCCTGGAATTCGCTACGGAAATCCTCCCTCCCAACGCCAGGAATTCACTACGTAAATCCTCCCTACCAACGCCAGGAATTCACTACATAGATCCTCCCTCCCAACGCCAGGAATTCACTACGGAAATCCTCTCAACGCCAGGAATTCACTACGGCAATCCTACCAACGCCAGGAATTCACTACAGAGATCCTCCCTCCCAACGCCAGGAATTCACTACATAGATCCTCCCTCCCAACGCCAGGAATTCACTACGGAAATCCTCTCAACACCAGGAATTCACTACGGCAATCCTACCAACACCAGGAATTCACTACAGCAACCCTTCCACTCAACGGCCAAGAATCCACTCGACATGCCCAATACCATCCCTCGCACTCAGATTCACCGCAGGGATTTCAGCGCCTTGCAACTTCCATGCGGACATGCAGGATGCAACCGGTTTTTCAAGACGGGTGGTGGGCGCACGAAACACATACTATCTGCCCATCCCATGATATCTTCCCCGCCGCCAGAGCATCAAGAAATGGACATTAATGTCCCAGATGAAGAACTCGAAGGGCCCTGACAATGGCCAGGATATTCCCCCCCCGCCCGATGATGAAGGGGGTGTTTTTGGGCACGGTCATGATCATGGCGCTGATGCATTGAGGTCTTCCCCCCCACCTGATGTTGATACAGAGTTTTTTGGCCGCGGGAACCATTTCTTTCGGAATTATCATACTCAACTCAACGGTTTGCTGTCGTGTTCCTCGATCAATTCAGTTTCTGACATCGCTTTCAGGCCGTCCATGTGATGAACATGGTCATTTTCTCGAGGACGACGCGCCGCCACCACCTCGTGAACCTCAATCTCCCAACGACTGGACCCCATTCCGTAACCGCACTGAATTCGAAACTGCGGATTTATTCTATGTTCAGAACCCAACACCTGCCCATAAAATTGATGCGCACCTTGCATTATGGGCATCAACACTACTCAAACACGGTGATGTGCCACCGTTTGCAGACCATCGAGATCTCTACGAAACGATCGACTCAATACCATTGGGAGAGGTTAAGTGGGAGAGTTTCGCGTGCTCGTATTCAGGCGAGAAGCCTGAGGGTGATTACCCACCCTGGATGGATAGCACCTTTGATGTGTGGTATCGAGATCCACGTCAAGTGGTTCACAACATGCTTGCAAACCCCGAATTCGCACATGAGATGGACTTTCGGCCGTATCGAGAGTATTCGACTGAAGGAGAGGAGCGCCAGTATAGAGATTTTATGTCTGCTAACTGGGCGTGGGATCAAGCGGTATGTACATGTCAGTTGCGAAGTCTCTGGGGAACTCATGTGATGTACTAGGACGAAATTTCCAAGGATCCAGATACCATTGGCGCAACCTTCGTTCCCATCATCCTCGGAAGCGACAAAACAACCGTTTCTGTTGGAACGGGTAACAACGAGTATTACCCGCTCTATCTGTCCATCGGGAACGTCCACAACAACGTCCGGCGTGCACACCGGAACGCAGTCTCCGTCATTGGCTTTCTTGCAATGCCAAAGAGTGAGTGACATAACTTCCTGTCCTATACAACTTGCTGACAATCTAATAGCTACGAAGGAGCATGCGAAACGCGCGAACTTTCGAAAATTTCGCCGTCAGCTATTCCATTCTTCGCTTTCGAAGATTCTCGAACGACTTCGGCCTGGAATGAAAGTACCCGAGGTTGCGAAGTTTGGCGATGGGCATTTCCGTCGTGTGGTCTACGGCCTCGGGCCATATATTGCTGACTACGAAGAACAGGTTCTGCTGGCGTGTATGGTGCGTTTCTGGTGTGCACGGTAAGTGATTGTTTTTCGACTCTAGACGTTCCTGACTCACGACGCTCAAGATGCATGGCACCGAATGATGATCTTGATGCAGCTGGCGCACACGCTCGATGTCAAAGGTACATAGAAGAACTTGTTCAGGTGGGGACATATTTGGAGCTGTGGGACGAGTTCGGGGTTGTGGCGGATCTCATTGTATGTTTTCATATCTATGTACTTAATTGTTCTCACTACGATTTTACCTGCAGCCGTTCACGAACGATTTTCCCCGCGCCGATATCTGCCAATTGATTGCACCGGACCTCTTACATCAGATCATCAAAGGGACGTTCAAAGACCACCTCGTGGACTGGGTTCATAAATATCTACTACGTACGCATGGAACACGCGAGGCACAACGAATCTTGGATGATATTGATCATAGGTAAGTGTCCTGCCTTCGCGTGCCAACTCTAAGGACTCATTCTGGCTTTATCGTACTAGAATCGCCGCTGTCGCTTCCTTCGCTGGCCTCCGTCGTTTTCCGCAAGGACGTGGCTTCAAACAGTGGACCGGCGATGATTCAAAAGCGCTTATGAAGGTAAGTGTCCCGTTATGTTTAACAATTACTTTGCTTAACGGGGTCTTTACAAACCAGGTTTATATAGCAGCCATCGAGGGACACGTCCCCGTGGACATTGTGCGCACTTTCCGTGCATTTCTTGAATTCTGTTACATGGTACGACGGAATACCATTACGGAGCGCACGCTAGAGCAAGTTCGAGACGCCGTTTCCAGCTTCCATAAGTATCGTGACATTTTTCTGACGAGCGGCACCATACCCACATTCTCGCTACCACGACAACACGCTGTCGCTCATTACGTGGAACTCATCCAGCTCTTTGGCGCTCCAAATGGACTGTGCTCGTCTATTACAGAGAATAAGCATATCAAGGCTGTTAAAGGTCCATGGCGACGATCAAACAAATTCAACGCGCTCGGTCAAATGCTCGTCACCAATCAACGACTCGATAAACTGGCTGCCGCACGAGTCGATTTTACCAGCCGTGGGATGTTGAATGGGACTTGCCTTTCAGCAGCCCTCGAAGCCCTTCAAGTTTGTAAGTTCAGAGCATATCTTCAGCTGCTTGAAAGCTAATGTTGAATCCCGCAAGTGCAACAAGATGAACCGAGGGACCCCGCACTTCCTGCCACCGAAGATGCAGTTGACGACTCTCACGACGGAAACCTCGGCGTGTCTGTTCCCGAAGATGGCATTGACGGAGTAGACCATGGCCCGACAATTCTGCAAGCACATACACGATTGGCGCAAACAATTCGCAAGTATATTTCGTTGTCTTTGAATCCAGACGTCTGATTTGATTTCGCACAGAGACAAAACGTGCACGTAATGTATTGGCTCGAGCTGAAGAGCTGAATATTCCCCGTCTGCCTGAGATGATCCGCCGCTTTCTCTTCCAGCAGACACGCCCGGATGACCCGCGAGATGCATCCGAAATTCCCGTCGCAGGATGCCCTCGATATGAGGGCAAAATATCAGTTTTCAACTCTGCATGCTCACGGTTCTATGCCCCGAGCGACTTAAGTGGGATCGGTGGCATGGGGATTGAGCATATTCGTGCTTGCCCCATGTGGCGGAACGAGGCCCCTCGTTATGACTGCGTTTTCGTTAACGTTGGGTCGGAAGATGTGGGCATTCGAGGACTTGAAGTTGCGAGGATTCGTGCCTTCTTCTCGTTCAATTACGGAGGAACGACATACCCGTGCGCCGTTTTGCGCTGGTTCGATATCATTGGAGACTCGCCCGACGAAGATACGGGCATGTGGATGGTGCGTCCAGCCTGCGGTGCTAACAATGCAGCTATCTACAATATCATACACGTGGATACAATCTACCGTGCAGCTCACCTTATTCCTGTCTACGGCAGACGTTTTCTTCGCCGCGATATTACCCTACACAATTCATACGACACATTTCGGACTTTCTACGTGAATAAATATGCTGATCATCACTCTTTTGAGCTCGCATCATAGTCATTTTCGTCGGTTTTACACATTGTATCTAATTAACTACGTTTTCAAGCCTTGATTGTTTTTTTCCTCTTGTGTGACTTGAACGGCTTGAACCAAGTAAGTCTTTGGTCGCCTTGTCACACCTTTGTGCACATTTGCAAAGTTGCGTGAAAACTCAAGCGCAAAAAAGCCGCTGAAAGTCAAAAAAGGGATCCTGGGTTTTGCTGATGCGCCTCTGGTCGATGTCTTCTCGTTAGGACATTTGGATATATTATTTCGTGCTTTGCGCTTGCAATTTTCACCGTTTGGAACCGCTCATTCGTTTTGCTCTTCCTCACTCGTCTTTTAACGTGTTTTAACGTGTTTCCATGCCTGCGTCACTCGTTTTGCTCTTTTTCACTGGTCTTTTGTCATATTTCCATGCCTTCATCACTCTTTCAGCCGCTCTTGATTGTCTCCTAATGCTTCTTAGATCCCCTTTAATGTTGTTCATGATTCTGTGCCTATCACCCATTTTCCGCTTATGTTCCCTTTCGCACCCTTTTTGGTGGTTTTATCACGCATTTTACAGTGACTTGCAATGGACTTGTGTCGAGTTTTTGTGCCTTACATCATACATAATAAGTGGATTCAAGTGTGATTAAGCCGCTACAAGAAGACGCGTGGCCTTGGCGCGTCTTGTGGTGCCCTCGCTCTTTTTTTCACTTGAGACCATTGAAAAAGCCAAAAAAGGCGTGTGAAGAGATCCGGGATTTTGCTGATGATGCAAGCGCAGAAGTAGCGGCCACGCCCGCGCGATAATAAGCCACTTTGCCTTGAGCCGGCCGTTGTGAATATCAGTGAAAAGAGGACAGGACATGACAACAAAATTCATGGAAAGGATAGGAAATTTTGGTCTTCTAGGCGCGAGGTCGTTACAAAAATCATGATTGTCATAGATGCGCGGGGAATGTATGCTGTGATGGGAGTCACCCGCGCCTTCGTAAGATGTAGGAGATGCATGTGAGAAATGATACCCGATGCAAAAGATGCTGTAGGGAGCGATTACAATACATACGAGCTTATTGTCACAGGAAGGGGCACGTTCTGGCTCAGGCCAGGGGTTGTAAGCTCAGCAACCATAGAGCCTCCGAGTCAGCCAAAGTAAAGGCCTGGTGCGCTGGTTGGTGTTGAACCGATTTTGAGTGTGTGGTGAACGGACTCCCACTGGCAGTGAGAACATGATATCACAAATCAGCAAGTGACCGATTCTACGAAAGATGAAGGATCGTACAAGGTTAGGCCAACCAGGCACAGCTTTTGCAATGAGTTCAAGAAGGTACGAAGTTCGGGCGCATGTACGCATCCGAGGGCGGCCGATGTTCTGAGCGAATAGTAAGATGCTTCAAGGCTGCATCGCCCCCCCTGAGGAACGCCCCCATCAACATCCATACAGATATCCACATCGTCAATGCTCTCACACGCCCGGATACGGTACACATGCTCTCTCTGATCCAGCGACACGCAGCCGCATCACAACACAACGCACTGGCAGCGTTAGCAAGGACGGACGGTTATGCCATCCGTGGGAACTTGAGGTAACGATTCAAGTCTTCATACTATTACTACCATTTCTCCGTCACCACCTCCATGCCAATCTTTCATCATTAATTTGCAAGTGATCGCTAGGATGCCATCAGCAATTTCTCATCACAAACTCACAAAGGGCGAATAAAGTTGTCATGGGCGCTATATCCAGTGTGTTGAACCAGATATTCCGCAGCGCATGTGTGTGTCCATTCACGATTTCCTGCTCTCAGCTCCTGTTCAGCTTCATCAAATAGTTTGAATGTCCAGCCAGGTTCTTATATGTGCCACGAACGCGCTCGCTACTACAGAGCATACCAGTAGCGGACTCAATATGTTTCGTGGCTTGTTCGTGGTCTCGTGCTACCGTCGGAAACCTCTTCATCCAGCCAAGGAAAGTCACAAACTTGTCTTTCATGCATTACAACTAAAAGCTGATGCGACAAACATGCTACGACGGACGACGTAATCAACAGCAACCAGGTCTTTTCGCGTTCGCAACAAGCATCCAGCACTGCTTGTCGAAGTCCGCAGCGCCCGCGGGAGGAGTCGGGCCATTGGTGATCTGCAGTAATGTCAGTTATAAAGCCAGACATGGTCGCTGATGAAAAACACACCGGGCCTGAGACCTTATCAAGGACCAGCCTTCTAGTGGTGTCGCCCACCACATGGATTCTGCGCATAAAGGGGACAAATCACTTATCAATTCCACTGGAATTGAATATTATACTCACAAATAGCTTCCGTTTTCCTGCACGAGCAACTGGAACAGCTGGGCATTGGCGGAGCCTGCAACCTCGTCTGCCTATCGTTTCGCGCCGTTGGCCATTTTGCATATGTTAATGCCGGATAGACCAATCACTCCATTGACCGTAATAAACATGCCCTCCTTTACAGGATAGAGATTTGCTGTACCATTAGCGGCGTCCACCCATTGCAACTGGACCTATAAACGTCAATGAGCATGGGAAGCGCGTCGCTATCATGATGCACGCGTACCAAATCATTTCGGCCAATGTTACTGCCCACGACCTGGTTGTCAGCATTCAACTGAAAGCAGCAGAAGTTGTGGAAAAGCTTCTGGATTAGGACATTCATCTTGTGCTGGTAGTCCTTGACAGTGAGAGAAGGGTTGTTGATGGAAACTAACGGTAGGATATGTTGTGACCTTTTTACCTGCCTGAACGCTCGATTAGATTCCAGATGCCGAAGTCAGCACCACCCTGCAAGTATGAGTCTTAGTCTTGGATCATGACCGACTGGTATCGGGCACATTCTATGCCCAATTCCAGTGCCTTCCTCATCTTCTCATAATATTTTACCCTTGCTCAAAATTAGGACACGCTTCGAGTCTGAATCTGAGTCTTGGGTCATGACTCATGTGACATTGGGCACATTCTCGATCCCAACAGTTTTCCGCGCCATACATTACCTCTCTAGCGACACTCACAATCTCGCAGTCGACGACGTCACTGATTCCGATCGGATATTCATGATCACATGTATGTCATATCACTTAGTCGACCCACATACTAGTGCAGCATGAGCTCACAATGCACCCGATAGCCTGTTTCTGCGCGCAAAGAGAAAGCTTAATCGCGCGGTACTAGGACAGCTGCAGCCTAGCGAAGGGGGTCACAAACATATCTTCCAGACATCACGACTAAAAGCTAATTTGACAAAAATTCTGCGTCAGGCGACTTGAATCGACAGCAACTAGGTCTCCTCGCATTCTGAAAAATCTCACTACTTCGCCGCAACGAGCATCCAGTACTGCTTGTTGAAGTCCGCAGCGCCCGCGAGAGGAGCCGGACCATAGGTGACCTGGAGCAACATCAGTCATATGGCCAAAAATTGTCACCGATGAAAAACAAACCGGGCCTGAGAGATTATCGAGGAGCAGCCTGTTGATAGGGTCGCCCGCCTTACGGATTCTGCGCATAAAGGGAATGAATGAATTTTTACCACTGGAACTGAAGATTATACTCACACATAGCTTCCGTTTCCCTGCAGGTCTAACTGGAGCAGCTGTTCATTTGCGCCGCCTACGACCTGGTTTGCCTACGATTTCGCGCTGTTAGCAATCTCGCATCTGTCAACACCAGATAGACCAATCACTCCATCGATCGTAATATACTTCTTCGCCGCCTCAACCCAGAGGTTCGCTGTGCCCTTGACTTTGTCCACATAAATGATCTGGACCTATGAACATCAATGAGCATAGGAAGCGCGTCGCTATCATGATGCACGCGTACCGTCGAACCTCCGCCAATGTTATTGCCCACGACGTGGTCGGCAGCATTCATCTGGAGAAAGCTGAAATTACGGTAAAGGTTTTGGACATTCATCTTGTGCTGGTAGTACTTGACAATGAGAGAGGGTTGTTGATGGAAAGTAATGGTAGGATATGTTGTGACCTTTATACCTGTCTGAACGCTCCATTAGGTTCCAGATGCCGAAGTCAGCACCATCCTTCAAGTCTGAGTCTTGGGGCACGACTCACTTGACATCGGACCCATTCTAAGCCCGATTCCACTGGTGCCTTCTTCGTTAAATTTTACCCTTGTTCAAAATTGGGATTTGAACAAGCGAGATCTGACAAGGCCTGGTTCTGTCTACATCACCACCCATGTATCTAGTCTCACATAATACAGGGTCGCAATCGTATCTCCACTCGATTCCGAGGGGAAGCGGCGACAGGGGCAGCCATCACGGTTCGAACATTTCTCCGTCGTGGGCCTTTGGTTCTAGACCAACAGAAGCCTGCATGGAAGGTGACAGCAAGGAACCCGTATCTGGCTGGGGGAGACTACCATGTCACTGATCAGACAGTCAAGCATACTCTGACTCCATCCAGGTCAATATTGCGCGCGATTTAAAGTTGTTCCGAACATCACAGACTTGGTACGAGAACTACTCTTTTCATTATCAAACAAAACTCAAACGGTAAATGCACTACGCACACGCAACTTAGTATGTGGGACTCCGCACGGATATGCGTGGGCTAGAGTCACAATGCGAACACCTGGTTTCGGAATCGCTGCAACCTGCAAGGTACCCGGCAAAGATGGAATTCGGTATTGGTATTTGACCTTCCAAGTCGCTTTGTGTGATTCCCTTGCTCGTCTCCGTGTCATCCGGATGCTGGCCAAATCATGATTCGTGCGTGGAAGATCAGCTACTACATCCCTCAGCTACTTTACTCAATTGTGCTCTCAAACCAGAGCGGTGGGGAATCAAGCCAGGGACCTGAATGATTAGATCAATGTCGCGCACAACAAAAGTATAATCCCCGAACCGCGTGATGACAAATCTGGATGTCGGGCCTTACAAGGCATTATGGCACGTCAAAAGAATCCTTTAAAATTAAAAGATTATCGCGCCCATAAATATATTAAAAGGTATTGTAGCGGTCGTTTTTCCGAGGGGACAGTCGAGACTCGCGGGTACTCTGAGTGACCTGAATTATTAGGTCACGCCCTTGATGCTGGAATCCGGAATATGATATGCTCCGAAGCCAAGTGAGTCGCGACGCGAGACTAATATTGTCGCAGTGATTTCTGCACAACTTAACTGTCGTCAAAATATTGAAATTTCCTCAACATACGCACCACTCGTCCAATATTTTCCTCAAACTACAGCGATGATCACCGATGGAACTTACAGGATCGAAAACGTTTTGTATCGCAAACGATATGTCTGCATGTCAGGAGACAAGTCAGGAAACAGGGAGTTCGTCGGCCATGACGTTGGTGACATCGTACGTGTCCATCGTTGCAGCAAGGTGCCTCCTATGTTCATGAGTCACCAATGCCCACAGATCGAAGTCGAAGTCAAGGACAAGGTTCAGCATCTCGCGACTCTCTATGATATTGGGACAGATTTGTACATTGGGATTGATAGAAAGGCTGGTCTTTCTGGTACTATCAGATGGGAGACTCCTAATGGCGTTAAATCATAGGAAAACAAGGTCAAAGGCTACACCGAACCACAGGTGCTCCAGTTGTCCAGTGATGACGGCGAGAAATTTGAGTGAGTATAGTCGTCGGTTCTAGTTGCACCGAGAATTGATCAGTCCCCTTGATCCGCAGGATCCATAAGCAGAATATCAACAGCGTGTGGATTCTCAAAGACAACTCAAACTGGTCCTGGGTTTGTTTCATCGTTGACCATTTTTAACTGTATTTATGACCAACGTCACTCCAGATCGTTACTGAGGCACCTCCCGATTCGGACACGAAATACTGGGAGTTCCAAAGGGTGTAATAGCTGTAAGAAGACCAAAGTACCAATTGCCGTTGCCTACGTGTAACTTGTCTGCCAGAGAATAATCAGTGCGCAACGCGTGACTAAATTTCCGTGATTGGACGGTGAGATGCTCGAGCGATGTTCACCTGTCGGAGATGCCTCTATAATTATTTGGCCTCCGTGTTCGCCACCATTCCAACTATCCTCCCCTCATTCGCCTCAGCAGGTGCCTACAAAAAATCAAGTTCAAGGAGCTCCGGCAAGGCTCGCTTGATAATGTGTCCTTGCTAGTGCCGTGCGTCGTGGTATGCTGAGCTGTGTGTCACTGCAGGGCGCACATGTACTCCGGGGGTGAGGGGGTCCTCAGGGCGTAATATGACGCACTCGGCTGAACAGACATGAAGCATCTGAATATTCGTACGCCACAGCTTCAGACTGTTAATGACCCGGTTGTTGTGTGGTCGAATGTATTCCATACATCACAACGGAAATATAGCTAATCTCTACCGACATTCTGCAGCGGACGAAATCTCCTTGCATTCTGAAACAACCAATTGAGTCAAAGCAACTAATCCAGCGGAACGAACATCCAGAACTGCTTGTTGTAGTCCGCAGAGCCCGCAAGAGGAGCGGGCTCATTCGTGACCTGAAACGACTTCAGTCTGATAGTCAAAATCGGTCACTCATGGACAACAAACCGGGCCTGAAAGATCGCTGAGGACCAGCCTATAAATATTGTTGTTCACCAGACGGATTCTGCGGATGTAAAAGGGACGAATGATTCTCGATATTACTGGAACCGAAGACCATACTCACACATAGCTTCCGTTGCCCTGCAGGTCTAATTGGAGTTCATAGGCATCAGGGGCGCCTACGACTTGATTTGCCTACCGTTTCACGCCATTAGCAATCTCGTATTTGTCAACACCAGAAAAACCACTCGCAGCATTGATTGTAATAAACGTTTGCTTTGTCGGAACCCAGAGACGCGCTCGACCCGCCCCCACGTCCACCCATTGGATGTGGACCTATGGTCATTGGTGTGACTCGTGAGCATAGGAAGCACGTTGCTGCAATGATGCACGCGTACGACATCACCTGAGCCCGTGGTATTGCCCACGACCAGGTTGGCAGGGTTCACCTGCATAAAGCTGAAGCTACGGTGAAAATTCTGGATTCGGACTTGCATGGTGCACTGGTAGCTGGTACTGAGTGAGAGAGGGTTGTTGATAGAACTGCATACGGTGGGACATGCCGCGACCTTTATACCTGCCTAAAACTCCATTTGATAAAACATTGACATGTGCCGTAATTCCCGGGGGAGGTTTTCGGGGGAGGTTTTCCCCGATGGATATAGATATTCCTGACGTTGAACAGATGGCAAGCGAGGACCCGGGTATGGTTGTTTGCACAAGCGGCGATAAGGGATAGGAACGAGATGCCCTGGAAGCTTGAAAAATGAACGTCCTAAGAGTGGGGTCTGGACTCTGCATCAAGCTACGAGACCTGGTGAGCTTGTCAAAAGACGAGAACACGCACTGATCTGATTGAAAACACTGCAGGACATTGCCATAGCACATCAATGTCGGGGTATTTTTACTCAGTCCATATCCTCAGAAGAATCATGTTGAAAAAGCCTACTATGATAGGGCAATGGGCATCAGTAGAGGTCAGAGGTATGCAAGATGGTGTTGCTCGAGAGTCGAGTATGGTATGTCGCCGCATCTGTTGAAGTTTAATTTCTCGCCACTCTCGTTGGCCTCCGTAGCACGCTGTACATTCCCCTCCTCGATATCATGTCGAAGCCCTTTCCATAGGTTCAACGAACTAGCCGCACACGAGAAACACTGACAAACTCTTGAGTCTTTGAATACTACTACTAATAGTAGTTTATGCCATCTCTATGAAAACTTATAGTTGAGTGTAGCCTGAGGATAGCACCAATATGAGACGAACTCATCATATATATTTTCCAACCCAAGCACTTGACAAAGCGGCACCAGGGAAACGCCAAGGAACGAGCAGGGTGCGGAAGAAGGCCGCCGACTGCCACTGAATCAGGAAAAGGGCACGGAGCCTATATATGGCAAGCACTACTGGTTTCCAGTATTGTAGCCGCGTCCATTACACTCAAAACTGCATATTTTCATTGCCATGGGACATATACACAACAGACTATTCGCTAACGGGAGCGCGGGCTAGCAGAATTCTGAGGCTCATCGGTAAAATTGAGGTTGTACTAGGAAGGAAAGTGAGTGGTTGCGTGTTCTGGGGTTTGGCTCTCATTTCGTTGTGGATTTGATATCCCTTGTCATCATTCTGTTGTGTGATTCAATCCTCGTTCGGTTTCGTATACACCAGCGAGCAAAACAAAACTGACGAACCAGCACAGCCTACATCGGTGAACCCACCTACCTCGGAAAGCTCTATACCTCCTTTCAACTCTACACAACCTCCTCCCACTTCCCCCTACGCTCCCAGGGGATGGTGATACATTCGCGCTGAAGGATGTGGACATATGTGTTCCATGGTATTCGTTCGCCTCTGCCCAACCACAACTCGACTCTCTATCACCTAAACCTTCTCATTCCCTCACTACCAACCCCTCGGGCAAAGGGAACGCCGAACGCATCCCAAATTCAGGATCAGAACCAACCACCCTCACCTCTCCAGACCCAAACCTAAATACGAAATCCCTTTGCGGCCATAACCACCCTCGTCCACGCACTCACACTCACCCTCCGACTAGACATGCACCTCATCATAACATGATCTTACGGGGCTGAGAAAACAGCTGTCGTGCTATTTACCGAGAGCCTACAGATGATGCAGACGACCGCCCAGGAGTATTCATCATCTCACAACGTCTATACTACCTCCTAGGGTCCCTTCTATCTCAAAAGTCATATGTTCACAATCGGTATCTGAGCTCAGTACGTCGTTCAAAGTGCTGGAAGAGCGGAAGATGGAATACGGTTAAGGAGTAGAGGGATGTGTTGAACAGGGGGAGAAGTAGAGGGTGAGTTGTGTTTCTTTCTTGGTGTCGCATGTTCTTTCTTTCTTCGTGATGTTGAACGTTTTTTGTTTTGTTTGAGGGGTGTTGCGAGATCGAATGGTGTTGATATCCTTGTCAATAGCTAGCGGTGGCTCGTCCTCTCTACATCATCCCAAACTCGCGATTCAAAACGGTGTGTCACGACCATTTGTCACTTCTCAATTTCAATATGATTTGAAACGCGACAGACTGCACATGGGCTGTGAGATCTGACGTCGAAGGCCAGATGTATGCGCACTGGGGATTACTTTGATTACTATCTCGTTGCGGTTCATGTTTTTGAGCGGTTTTTGTGTGTCGATGCTGATGATGATGACGGACGCAGACGTTCTCAGTATCACGCGCATGTATTGACTCTTACGGGCATCTGGCCGCTTTCCAACCGGGTAATAGAGAGAGGTAATATCATGCACTGCTGCATCGATAGCTTCGACAATGTCGGCGTGTTTGAAGGGCGATAGCGTCGAGGCAGAATTTGCGCGCAAGTTCGACGATAAATGATTCCTGTGCGCGACGTAAAACCTTCCATTGGAGCTCAGTTGGAGAACACGAGTCTATTTGGAGTAGTAGAGACATTCACGCATGATATTCTGATAGGAATAGAGTGTGATTCAAAACCAACTGCGTAAGTGTGGGTACTGTGAGGAACTATAGCTGAGAAACGAGAGAACAGATGGTATTACACCTAGGGCATTGTGTGGTGTTATGACTCGACAAGCTCATGCCCGAAGCCTAGTAGTTTGTTGATCAGCGACGCTCGGTAAGTGCCCAAATCTGATGGGCGCTTTTCCAGCCGGTACAAAGCAGAACTTGCGTACCGTCTGCTGGATCAGACAGCTCTATACTGAATTTCGTACCATGGGCCAATATTCTGTCGGGTGGTAGAAGACAACCGGGCAGAACTAGTCGACGACCAGATATACACCATATGAAAGGCATGCACACCTAATGCCTAGGGCACCTGGAACGTCAGTATCTTCAACATCCCACTTGAAAGGGGATGAAACAGCGACGACCTTGGTGCCATTATTGGCGCTGCAGATCTCGCCTTCAATCCCAAGATATTTTCCAGAGCGAGGAGACTTGATGAACCAGGTGTTGTGGTCTCCACCGCTCTCGAAGATCCACTGCGAACCACACAGTCGGTCAGCACAACCCGTCCACGACGGGATGTCAAGCGCATTACCGACTGGTTAGACCCTTTGTGGGGAGACCATCCCGTGACTAGGTTGACGCAATGTTAGCATTGGTCTGGGATGTCCTTGGAGCAAAGATGACCCTTACTGGAGCAGTCATCGGTAGCCGAGAGGTCGATGGCAGTACCCGCCTTACAGTTTTTGAGGCCATAAATGTGCTGGTTCTCAATACAAACCCATTTGGTAACCGCCCAGATCTGATGGGCGGCGTTCCAGCTGGTCGCAAGCTGGACTTTCGTGCCGTCCGCTGCATTTTCATCGTTAGACAGCTCTAAGCTGAGATCCATACCATGGACTGATATCCTGCAAACGGCAAAAAAAGCAATCGACGAGAATCAATCCACAACAGGTGATGAACCATATGAAAGGTGTGCACACCTAATGCCTTTGATACCTTGGAGATCAGAATCTTTGATATCCCACTTGGTTGAAGTGGTTGAAATAGCGAAGACCTCGGTGCCATCATGGGGGTCACATTCAACTCCAAGATATGTTCCAGAGCGAGCAGACTTGATGTGCCAGCCGCTCTCGTCACCGTAATTCTCAAAAATCCACTGTGAACCGCGCAGCCAGTCAGCAAAAACCATCCGCGACGGGTTAAATAAGTGTATTACCGCTTGGTTGGAACCATCGTTGGGAGACCATCCGGTTACTAGGTTGGGGAAATGTTAGTGCTGACTTGGCCTGGAGCAGTTGATGATGCATACTGGTGTAGTTATCATCATTCGAGAGGTCAACAGCAGTGCATCCCTGACTGTTTATGAGCCTGTAGGTCTGTTGATTCTGAATCCAAGCCATCGTATTGCGTACTTGGAATGTTCAAGTATTTATACTACTAGACATTCGGAGGGGTCAGAAATCACGAAGATCTTCTGTCCAACTCGACAATCAATTGGTCCCGATTTGATACGGAATTTGTGAATGAGCGTTCATTTTGGAATAAACACCCCTGGAAGTCCTAGGAAGGGTATATCGGAGTTGGGAGTCCGTGCTTTTACGCCGCGATCGTCAATAACATTTCGCTATCGAAGGCCTAGGCAAATGTTGACAGTGACCACACTTAACCTTCGGTTATTTGATCTCGCCGAACGGATCAGTGCCTAGGAGGCGATTACGTTGAGATGAGCGCTGATACTAGTAGAAGTTCACACGGATACCAAGTTTTCCGGAGCTACATCCTCAATCGAACCTCCACGAAGAATGAAGCCTGAGGAAGGCCCCTACGGAATCCGGATATGCCCTTCGAAGTAAAGTGAGTCGTAACCAGTTGACCCTAGACCAATACTCAGACAAAGGGTGATGGTGCTGACATCGGCGTCCGGAACCTATTGAAGACTCAGACAAGTATAAAGGTTGCAGCGTGTCCTACCATTAACCTTCTCTCACTCAATACCACCTACCAGCACACCATGCAAGGTCGAATCCAGAATCTTCACCGTAACTTCAGCTTTATCCAGCTGAGCCCTGCCAACCACGTCTTGGGCAATAACATCAGCCAAGGTGATGTCGTACGCGTGCATCATTGCAGCAACGTGCTTCCCATGCTCACGAGTCATACCAATGTCCATAGGTCCAGGTCCAATGGTTGGACCAGCAGGCAGGTCGAGCGAATCTCTGGGTTGCGGCGAAGCGCATGTTTATTACGATCAATGCTGCGAGTGGTCTATCTGGTATTTGACAGATGTGAGATTGCTGATAACGTGAATGATAGACAAATCAGGTATTAGGCTCCGCCAATTCCCAGATGCTCCAGTTGGATGTGCAGGACAACGGAAGCTATGTGTGAGTATGGTCTTCGATTCCAGTATTGATAAGAATTCAGTCGTCAACTTTGTCCGCAGAATACATATGGCAGGCGATAACATCAATAGGCTGGTCCTCAACGATCTTGCAGGCCCGGTTCGTTTTTCATGGGTGACCGATGTTGACTTGATGACCGACGTCGTTTCAGGTCACAAATGACCCATCTCCTCGCCCGGGCGCTGAGGACTACAATAAGCAATTCTGGATGCTGGTCGCGCCGCCGTAATAAGCAGTGTCGGAATACAAGAAGCTCTGCTGGCTGTTGCTTTGACCCGTCCGCCTAAAAATGTTTGTAAAATTAGCTTTTAGTCATGATGCATGCAAGACATATTCTCAGCTAAACAATGAGGTTGTCTGGGTAGCCCGAGGCCACAGAACACCTGAGTCGTTGTCTGGAGCTGCAGACGGACTTCGATGGCAGAGAAGTTTGCGCCAGGCTGAACCTGCCACCCCGACTAACTATGAAGTGCCCATCGACGACATTATGTTGATCAGAGCACGGGTGATAGTCATCATTTCCATGAAAGTCGAACTGTCTGACAACACGGAAGTCGAGCTGAGAGTACGAGGTCGTCAAAGCGGCGAAAGGGTGCAGAAATAGCTTGCGCAGAGTTTAGATCCGACGGCGAACTGGTCGTACGTGGCACATCGGGAGCACTCCTTCTCCTTCGTGATGTTAGGATTGGAATCACGCCTGGAATATTTACATTTTCAGTAGTGGTATCCGCACGAGACTCGACAATCCACCGGCTCCCAGTTCCCATATTGGCAAGAGATTCGGTTAAAGGAGAAGCTTAGCATAGGCCAGCTGTTTGGTAGGACAAGTTGTTCAATCCAAACTGCTTTCGAAATTCCAAGTGAACCGTTAGGACACAGCCAAGAGTTCCCACGCCGTTGTGCAGGCTCACTCAGTTGAATAGGTTCTTCTTAGTAACCACTGACCTGAGCCATGAGGTTCTCCTAGACAGCATTGCACTCAAACTCGCAGAGGAGTGTGGTGAAGAATTGCATATTCTACCTCATCTCGAACACTTTTCCAAATGGCTTCCTTCTCGTATCACAATCAGGCGAAGAAGAGCAGAATCCGTCCTCGCCTATAATGGCTGGAGGCCCGACAGGCAGCTTCCCTGTTCATATGGGTGGTCAGCGCTCAGCCCTCGCATCACTATCGACTCCGGTATTGGAAACTGCAGTCTGGGATTCACACCAGATGCCCATGACCGTATGCCTGTAAATTTTAATTCCGCAACGTCACTTTTCACATCACATTTCAAAGACTCAGGCAGGGGACCCCGAATGCTGTAAATCGAAGTGGCTCTTTGACCTTCCTCTATGTTTGCCAGAGCGTTCGATCCCAACAGTTTTCCGCGCCATATATTACCTCTCTAGCGACACTCACGATCTCGCAGTCGACGGCGTTACTGATTCCGATCGGATATTCATGATCACATGTATGTCATATTGCTATTGCTTAGTCGACCGATATACTAGTGCAGCATGAGCTCACAATGCACCCGATAGCCTGTTTCTGCGCGCAAAGAGAAAGCTTAATCGCGCGGTACTAGGACAGCTGTAGCCTAGCGAAGGGGGTCACAAACGTATCTTCCAGACATCACGACTAAAAGCTAATTTGACAAAAATTCTGCGTCGGACGACTTAAATCGACAGCAGCTAGGTCTCCTCGCATTCTGAAACATCTCACTACTTCGCCGCAACGAGCATCCAGTACTGCTTGTTGAAGTCCGCAGCGCCCGCGAGAGGAGCCGGACCATAGGTGACCTGGAGCAACATCAGTCATATGGCCAAAAATTGTCACCGATGAAAAACAAACCGGGCCTGAGAGATTATCGAGGAGCAGCCTGTTGATAGGGTCGCCCGCCTTACGAATTCTGCGCATAAAGGGGATGAATGAATTATTACTACTGGAACCGAAGATTATACTCACACATAGCTTCCGTTTCCCTGCAGGTCCAACTGGAGCAGCTGCTCATTTGCGCCGCCTACGACCTGGTTTGCCTATGATTTCGCGCTGTTAGCAATCTCGCATCTGTCAACACCAGATAGAACAATCACTCCATCGATCGTAATATACTTCTTCGCCGCCTCAACCCAGAGGTTCGCTGTGCCCTTGACTGCGTCCACATAAATGATCTGGACCTATGAACATCAATGAGCATAGGAAGCGCGTCGCTATCATGATGCACGCGTACCGTCGAACCTCCGCCAATGTTATTGCCCACGACGTGGTCGGCAGCATTCATCTGGAGAAAGCTGAAATTACGGTAAAGGTTTTGGACATTCATCTTGTGCTGGTAGTACTTGACAATGAGAGAGGGTTGTTGATGGAAAGTAATGGTAGGATATGTTGTGACCTTTATACCTGTCTGAACGCTCCATTAGGTTCCAGATGCCGAAGTCAGCACCATCCTTCAAGTCTGAGTCTTGGGGCACGACTCCCTTGACATCGGACCCATTCTAAGCCCGATTCCACTGGTGCCTTCTTCGTTAAATTTTACCCTTGTTCAAAATTGGGATTTCAACAAGCGAGATTTGACAAGGCCTGGTTCTGTCCACATCACCCCGCCCATGTATTTTGTGTCAGCATCGGACAGGGTCGCAATCACATTTTCATTCGAGTCCGAGGGGAAGCCTCGACAGGGGCAACATCGCGGTTCGAACATTGTTCCGTCGTGGGTTTTTAGTTCTAGACCCATGGAAGCTTGTATGGAAGATGACGGCAAGGAACGACTATCTTATGTATTCCATAGGTCTGTCCATATCTCCGCCCAGGTCAGTATTACATGTGGATTCAAGTTGAAGTTCCGAGCACTATAGACGGTACAAGAACTACTCCTTTTTTATCAAACGAAATTGGATGGCAAATACACTATGCACACGCGACCTTGCGCGTGGGACTCCGCGTGTATATGCATGTATATGCGTGTGCTAGAGTCACAATGCGAACACCCGGCCTCGGTATCAGCTGCAGCCCCGGCGAGGTACCCGTTGAAGATGGGATTCGGTATTTGGCCTTCCAAGTCGCATTTTGTAATCCCCGTGCGCGTCTCGGTGTCGCTGAGACGCGGGTCGAATCATCATTCGGTGATGGAAGACCTTACTGCACGCCTACGCTACTTAACTTGATTGTACTCAGATCTGAAGTAAGGAGCGGTGGGGAATCAGGTCAGTGACCTGAATATCAATGTCGAAAAAATCGAAGAGCCATTATAATCCCCGGGCCGCCGGATGACAAGTCTGGTTAGAATCTAGCGCCTTCAAGGTTCAAAGGCCTTGCAAGGCCTCGCGGCACGTCTCAATAATGCCTGTTAAAAGATCGTCGTGCCTCATTTTAGCAATTCAAGCTTACTCATCTGCTGACTCGCTTACATAGTGAACTTCTTTCCGACATGTCCGAGTCACCTTCAGGGGGGAGAGTCGGGACTCACGAGTTCTCTTATCAGTGACATGAATTATTAGGTCAATAACGAATATGCTATCGGCATATGATATGCCCCGAAGCCAAGTGGGTTGCGACGCAAGGAGACCAATAGAGGTTTTCAAGGGAAATTTTCCCTGATGGATCTAAATATTTCCTCAAGTTAGACCAATTGACAACCGAGGCTCTCTGAACAATAGGCAACGAGGGCTCAGAACAGCATGGGCTTGAAGGTTGAAGGGTGAACGTCCTGGGTGGGGTCTGCAAGATCGGGAAAGCTGACCAAAAGACGAGAGCATGCACTGACTGAGAACACCAAGAAACCGGAATTCTCGAAAGTCCGCCAGGTCCGCCTGTCCGTCCGCCTGTCCGCCAGGGGGGTCCGTCCGTCCGTCCGTCCAGCTGAGTTCGCAATTTGACACAACACAACCAAATAACACGATTAGATACTGAGATAAGGGTAGACGCTGCCTTCTTACTCCAACCACCATCATCCTCACCAGCGAGGTGCCCGCCGGCCTTTCCGCCCCACTCTTCATCAACATTATTACCTGGTCTTCACGACCCACAACAGTATGTTTGCCTGTATAGTTTTCCAAGTATGTCATTTGTCTTTTCATCTTCGATGCACGCCC